GGCTCCTTGGGTCTGAATCATCCTTAAGCCACCAGAGGGGCCGCTGCCCCTCGGGGGGATGACCTCGGAGAGGATGTCTAAGGGGCGCAGATCTGTGGGTGAGTGAGACAGAGGGGTTATCCTCAGAGGCCCCGTGGCCCCAGGCCTGGCCCCTGCAGCTGTCCTCATGATCAGAGCAGGCCTCTGCCTGCCAGCCCTCTCTCCCTCCCTTTAAGGAGGCGCCCCCAGGAAAATGGAAGCCCTTTGAGGACAGGGTCTCTTCTCCTGCTAGAGCTTAGCACTCATCCCGTATACAGCAAGGGATTCAGATGTTGGGCCACTAATGCATGGCCGCACTCATGGTTCTCTCTGCAAGATGACAGCAACATTTATTGAGCACCTGCTGAATGTCCAGGGTGATGCAATTTGTGTCACCAAGGGGCAGGAAGTGCCCAGATGTCCCAGGCCTTGTCCCCCATTGCTCCCACTCCAGTGAAGAAACAACCCATGCACGCAGACCCACTGGAGGAGGCCACGACTGGCACCCTGCAGTGTCCAGTCCTCCCCAAGGGACGCTTTCTGGGGACCTAGGCCACGTGGCAGCTAGCTCGGCAGGGGAGGTGAGCCACCCAAGGCCGTGTGGCTGCCGGCTCCGGGGGCTGCACCACAGGGCACACCAGGCACAGCTCATGCCCAAGGTCTTGGCTTTATTTAAAGTCTCTTTTGGTGGAGAAGACAACAGTCCTCTTCTCGCTTAAGGATCTCTGGGGGCAGATCATTGTCTTCAAGCTAGAAGCTTATCCAGGATAACCGCCTCCACCCTTTTAGCAGATAAGAAGACTGAGGCAGGATTAGCCCCAGGTCCCTGACGGTGTCCAGAGGCAACCACTGGTGCTGCAGCTCTTAGCCAGAGAGGTTTGTGCCCCCCATAAAAGCATCTGCAGCTGCTCTGCTCCACCCCACCCCGTGCCCAGCTATGTGAGCCCCAAGTAAGGGGCGGGCCCCTCCTCCAGTATCTGTGCCAGGATGCAGCATCAGCTGGGAGAGGGGGTGCACAGGTAAATGGCCACAGCATCCCCTGCCTTCCACGTGCTGCTCCACCTTCTGGGCACTAAGGCCTCAGATGGAGAGAGGACACCCCAGCCAGGGGGTCTGGGGAGCTTCCTCAAGGAGGTCACACCCCGGCTGGGCCTTGGGGGACAGAGAGAACTGCAGCAAGCAGAGATCTGGAAGGAATCGGTGATGGACGCCAAGGATGGCTCAGAAGTGGCCGCGAGGAGGATAAGGAGGTGCGTGGAGGCTGAGTCCTCTCCAGTCTGGGAGGAAGTCCTCAGCCAGGGAGAATTTGGAGAAATTCCAGGCTTCCTTTGTGTAGGGAGGAAGAGAGAGATGTACAGAAGGTTCTTCCCTAACCTGCCCCACCAAGGGAAAAGGTGAGAGGACACACAGGGCAGCAGCTTCAGGCTGGCGGAGTCTCTGATGCCCAGGCAGAGGCTCTCCAGCAGGTATCTTGCTTGTCAGGATTGTCATTCAGACTCCCACTGGCCTGACTTCTCGTGTCCAGCCCTGAGATCTGGGTCCCAGCCCTGTTACTGCTGAGATCCTGCCCCTCTGTGAGCTCCTGTGCATGGTCGGTGTAGGGGTGGGGGATGTGAGGGTGGGGGAGGGGGGCTCACGAGGCGGGGGGATGCCAGGTAGAAGTCTGCAGGGCCCCCTCCACATCTGACACTCTCCCCCATCACAGCCATAATTTCGTCTTTACAGATAAAGGAGCTGGGAATGCTCAGCTGGGAGAAGCTTGATGTGATAACTGTGCTGGAGGACCATTGAGGCTGGCTCTCCTGGGGAGAAGGGATTGGCCCCAGAGGGCAGAACAAGGGCCCACAGTAAGGCAGGAAAAGTCTGACAGTGCGGGCTCTCCAAAGCAGAAGGATCTGCATCAGGAGGGTCTGAGCTCCCCTGCCTAGAGGGCTTTCACCAGGGGAGTCCTTCTCCAGGAAGCCTAGGGGGCTTCCCAGGGCCTTCTGCCCAGGAGGTCGGGGCTCCTGTGCCAGAGATCATTGGCAGCTCTCACTAGGTAGAGGCTGGTAAGAGGCATAAGCAGAATTGAGTCGTGCCCACAGTGCTGGGTGCTGGGAAAACAAGTCCAGAGAGGAAAGTGATCTCTGCCCTAAAGGAGCTTCCAGTCTAAGGGGGCCAGGCCCCAGAATGCTTGGAAAGAGAACTGGTGCAGACTGACCTCTTACATCTACAAGGTCCACATGCATCCTTCAGAGCTTCTTAAATGTTTGAATTCCAATGCAGAAATAATTAGTGTTTATTCTTAGAAACATGAGAAATGGCAGCTTCAGGGCATCCCAGGTGCTGAAAAGATGGAACCACTTGGAGAGGCATCTCCTGATCGTGTCTGGCAAATGGTTGGCAGCAGTGTTGACAGCACCTTACCATACACACCTCGGCCTTGGCTGGCTCCCTGCAGCAAAGTTCTGCCAGAGGAGCAGGGCTGGGCACACCCACTTTCCAATGTCCCATCCATCCTGGCCCGGAACAAACCTGGCAGCTAGAACCGGGTCTAATCCTGCTGAGGAGGCTTCTGCCGCCCAGCAGATTCTGCTAGGGCATTAGCTGCCTCTGCCCCTGGGAGCCTCCGCCTACCTTTGCTGCTGTGGGTTTGTTCCTAAGCTCCAGGGAAGGGCATTGTGCAACATGGAAAGAGCAGCACTGGACAACAGGCATGATGGTTCCCACTTTACAGATGAGAACTCTAGGTCTTTCTGGCCTCAGAAAGGCAGCTGGGTAGCACAGGGGCTGGAGCATTGTGCATGGAGTCAGGAACACCCAAGTCCAAATCTGACCTCGGACACTCATGAGTTGTATGACCCTGGGCAAGTCACTTCTCCTTGTCTGCCTTAGTTTCCTCAACTATGAAGTAGGAATAATAGTAGCACCTTCCATACAGAATTGTAGTAGATGCTTAATCAATGCTTACCCCCTTCCCTCCATTCCCATCCAAGCTAGTGTTCTGTCCATAGCACAGAAAGTAAGAAAAGGGAAGATTTCCAACTCAACACTACTAAGTGGACCCTACCACACCCGCAAAGCCGGCCAGATGGAGAGTTTAAGGCCTTTTGCAGGCTGAGTTGAAGAAACTGCTAAAGTGTCTCCCAGGGAAAGGCAACATTTGGGATGTATCTTCATGGGCTGGAAAGGTTGCCCCAGGGGAAGGAGAGAGACTAGCTTGGTCCCAGAGGCCAGACCTGTGGGAAACAACAGAGGCAGATCCCTGCTTGAGGTCAGAATGTCATGACGAAGGCTGTCCTGCTTGGGGTACCAGGAGACTCGCTCTCGCTGAAGGAAGCCTAGGTCAGATGGTGACCCTGGGCAAGCAGGGACCCCTGCGCAGACAGGGGCTGTGCTAGAGGCCCCTGAGGCAGCCCCCCAAAGTCTCTGACAACTGTCCCATCTCTCTGTCTTGCATGAATAAGATCTCTAGTGGGTTGACCACCTCAGCGTTTCTTGGAAATCCCTCTGATGGGCAGACCAGAGAAGGGCGGGTGGCTAGCTCTTCCAGGGGAAGCCCTGGTTGAAGAAAAGCCCAAGGGGGGCGTTTAGGAAACTGCCCTCGGGCCACGCCTGTGGCTCTGACGAGCCCCAACTTGGGCACAATTCAATCCCTCCCAAGGGGCCAAAGCTGGCTGTGCTGGGCTGCTCCTTCTCCAATGCTCTGCCATCTGACCAAACTGTTGGTGATTCCAGGCTCTTCCTCCAGCTGTCCTTAGCAGCCTCCACCTGCAAAGCCTCTGTCCACTGGTGTGGTGGCTCTCTGGTCACCTCTGCAGTCCAGGGTCCTGCTTGGCTCACACACTCTTCCCTGATTCTACTGAGTTGCTGCCCGAATTCCAAGCTCGCTGTCATTGGGCCAGTCCCAGATGACGCCCCAGGAGGCCTGAACCAGTGCCCTTTCCCTGCCTCTCGGAACCTTTTCTGGAAGAACAAGTGACAAGAGCAGCCTGCCGAGTCGCTGGTCCTGGGCGCAGGCACAACGGCTCGGCTTGCCCAGTGCCCTCCATCCGGGGAGATGGGCCGCCAGAAGCCTTTGCTTGGCCAGCTCATGAGGGCCTCCCTCACAAGCAGAGTGCCGCTCAGCCTGCTGCTTTGTTCCAGAATAGAAGGGGCAAGAAGGCAGATGTAGGGAGCCTCATTTCTACCCTAAAATGGGCCAGGCTGCCTGGGCTAGGGGGTGGAGGGTGATCTTCGCATTCTGCTGACAGATGCTGGGTGTCCGAGGCTTGAAGGTGTTCCTCAGCTGGTGGGGACAAGAGGGCTTCGAGATTCTGGGCAGCAAGCTGCTTTGTTATTTCCATATCATTGTGCTGGGAAATCTATAAAGAACCATATTGGCATTCCTGCGACTGAGGACAAAGTTTGAAACTCATCAGTCACAGATTTAACCTGATTGTCCAGACTAGACAGGGCCTGGGGTCCCAGGATTTAAAACCAAAGGGATTATCTGAGTTCAAGCCCTAATTTAACTGATAAGGAACCTGAGACCAAGATAGCCAGGCATTTCTGCCAGACAGGATCAGATTCTAACCCAACCCACTGGATACCAGGCCTGTATTGTTGTATATAACCAAATCAGTCGGGATGCCTTCAAAAACTGGACAGAGCCACTACAGAAAATCCTGTAGGGGTGGGGAGGGAAACTGGAGGTCCCCAAACCAGAGACAAACGAGACTCCAAGGACCAATCTGGAATAACAAGCAGCTGGGAACGAAAACAGGTTAATGGAGAGACGGATGAGAGCAAAAGTAGAAAGAATAACAAGGAAAAGGGAGATGCAGTGGCAGACACATAAACACACATGCACATGCATGCACATGTACACAAACACACACGCACACACACAAACACACACACATTGCATACAGGTATAAAAGCCTTGGTCAGGGGGAAGGAGCAGTCCAACCCCATCCGTCCTCCTCTGCTCCTCTCCCAACATCGCTCCCAACCCAGACACCATGTGTCACACCAGCTGCTCCACTGGCTGCCAGCCGGCCTGCTCCGTGCCCGTCTGCTGCAAGCCCATCTGCTGTGTGATTCCCTGCTGCCGCCCAGCCTCCTGTGTGGCCCTGCTCTGCCGCCCAGCTTGCCCCGTGGTGACCGGCTGCCAGGCAGTCTGTGGAGCTGGCAGGAGCTCCCCCTCATGCTGTGTGTCCAGCCCCTGCCAGTCCACCTGCTGCCAGGATAGCCCTTGCCTCTCCACCTGCTGCACACCTGTCTGCTACAAATCTGCTATCTGTGTACCCATATGCTACAAGACTGCGACCTATGCCATACCCTCCTGCCAGGCCTCCTCCTGCCAGCCAGCCTCCTGCACCTCCCTGCTATGTGGACCCTCTTGCACCCCCTCCTGCTGCTGAGCACACACTGTCCCAGTTCAGTTGAGAGGAGCCTAGAGCATCCACTTCTCAGATCACCGAGGTCAGGGCCCTCACTCATACCCCACAGGCTGGTGAGAAGCTATGGTTCTGCAGTGACTCACAACCCATGACACCCAGGCTAGGTCACTGATGCCAGAAACCAGCTGGGCCTCATCATGCCCCATGGACTCCATTGTGGCACAGAGCCACCATTCCCACAGGGACCCTTCCAGAGCTCCCTCAAGGGGAGGTCCCGGGACACCAGGGTCTGGCTTTCCACAACCTCCCTCCTGCCTCATGGTAACTCCAGCTTCACCTGCCCCAGTGACACCACAAAAAACAAGCATGTAATAAATTTAAAAGGAGACATGCCTAAAAACCACTGAGTGCCTCTGTTCTCTGAATGGTGCAGAGGGGGGTGGGTTCATAGAGGGCAAGGAAGGAGTTTGCCACCACTTTCTGTGGGAGATGTCATGACCCAAGAGAGGCCTGGAAGGGATTTGGCTAATGGACCCTTAAGAATTTCTTGAGCTTTGGAGCCCCCTGTTTGGAGGGTAGGAAGCAGAGTCAGACTCCTGCCAGAGCCTGCCTTTGGAGAGGGCAGACACTGGGCTCCCAGTTCCCCCAGCCTTCAACCTGCAGCTCTGACAAGCTTCACTCCCACAGAACAAGACCACCACACCAAGGGCCCCCACTTTTCAGTCCTCCCACCCCATTTTTATTCTCCTCCAATTAGATTGCAAGCTTCTTAAGGACAGGGACTGTCTTTTCTTCATTAGTTATTTCCCCAGTGCTTGGCACACAGTAGGTGCTTAACAAATGTGGACTGGATGGGCAGGAAGCTCCCCCGAGTGGACACTGCCTTGTGGTCCGGCTAATTAGAGAACACAACCACCTTTTACAGGGGACGAGAATGGGAAGCTCTGCTTTCCTGGAACAATTGTTCTACTTGTGGCTGTGACCCCATCTCCTCTCTCTTCTAGGAAGTTCCCTGTTAATTTTCATTCTCTATCTTTGTCTCTCTCTTTTCTCCCTTTCAATCTCCCTCTCCTTTTTCCCCTCTTTCTTCATCTCTCTGTCAATGGGTCTCTCTGTCTCTGCCCCTCCTACTGTTTCTGCTTCAATCTCTTTGTCTCTGTATTTCCATCTTTATCTGTCCCTCTATCTCTGTTTTTGTATCTCTCTCTCTGCCTCTCTCTGTGTCTCACTGTGTATTTGTATCTCTCTGTGTCTCGGTCTCTCTATTTTTCTTTCTTTGTCTCTGTCTCATTCTCTCTCTCACACACATGCACACCCTGTTTCCACTTTACATGTCTACAACCATAATTCCACTAGCCCAGGTAAGGGCTTCAGCACCATCACCAGAACAGTGAAGTAGCCCTACTAAGTGCTCTCCAGTCTTTCCTCTTTCCAATCCATCCTCTATACCAGACATTGCCTACACAAAAAGAAATGGGGACCACGGACCACTACCTGAGCATCCCTGTGGGTTGAATATCAACCAGTTTTAAAAGCTGGACTTTGTCAATGTCTAGCCGTGTTTTATTTCACATTGTTAGGTTTTCCCCAATACTTTTTAATCTGGTTCTGCCACCCTTGATGCTGTTGCGAGCCACGTGTTTGGCGCCTCCACTCTGGATGCTGCCCCAGGGATGTCCTGAAGACCCAGATCTAACCAGGTCACTTTATGCCCAAGTATCTGCTATCAAACAGAATACAAACGACTATACTGTTGGCCATTCACAGCCCTACCCAAGCTCTCCCCTTGCTCTCCTTTGTGTCAATATTACATTGGGCTAGACGGGCCTGCTGGTCTCCCAACACAAAATTCCCTGTCTCCCCAAGATACTGGAAAGGCTCACAGTGCCCCTCCCTCATCTTCCCATCCACCTCCAGGGATGCTGAGCTTGGACTTTGTACAAGAAGCCTGCCTGATCATGCCTGTCAATGTTCTCCCCTCCTGACTTTGCCCCCCAGGTACTTGTCTCTGTTCAGGGGACCCTCAGCCCACCAGCTTTCCCTTCTGTCACTGGATGCTCAGGACTTAGCCCTGTGTCAGGCCAGGAGAAGGGGCTTCATAGATGTTTACTAAAGGGTGGAAATGGAAACCAAATTGAGGGTGTTTATGGGTGTATCGCCATCCCCTGGACAATGTCACCATCACCTAATGATGGGCTCTGAGGGAAGCAGCCAGCCATAAACAACAACAGGGAAGAAGGCTAAGTCTCCCCTTGGGACATCCTCCTGAAGGACGAATATAAAAGCCCACCAGGCTACACCACCTTCACACACAGCCCCACAGCTGCACTCACACACACACACTCACACAGACCCACACCCACAAGCACAATCCCAGTGAGGCTCAAGCACTCCCTGCACCAGGCACTCAGCCCCTCACTGACACCGCTCTCACACACTTTGCTGCCCCAGGCACCCAACACAGCTGCTCCCACCATGGCAGACACCTGCTTTTCTGGGCCCTGTGCTCCCATGTCCTCAGCTGTCTCTGTCTGCTCCAGTGACGTCAGCTGCGGCAGCAACGTCTGCCTGCCCAGTTCATGCCCGGGCTCCTCCTCACAGATGGAAGACTGCCCTGAGAGCTGTTGTGAACCCAGCTGCTGTGGGCCCTCCTGCTGCCCAGAACCCTGCTGCACAACCTCCTGCCTGACCCTGCTGCTCTGCCACCCAGTCTGCTGTGTGCCTGCCGCCTGCCAGACAGCCTGTGAACCCAGCCCCTGCCAGTCTGTCTGTACCTTCTCCTGCTCCCCATCAGGCTGCCAGCAGTCCTGCTGCCAAGACCCTAGCTGCTCTGCCTCCCCCTGCTCAGTGCAGTCCTGCTACTGTGTCCCTCTGTGCTGCAAGCCCAGCTGCTGCATCACCCTGCCTGTGTGCTGCAAGCCCAGCTGCTGTGTGACCACAGCCTGTTGTCCAGCCTCCTCCTGCTGCCAGCCCAGCTGCTGCCGCCCTGCCTCCTCTGTGTCCCTCATCTGCAGGCCCGTGTGCAACCCAGCTGCCTGCTGCGTGCCTCTCTCCTGCAGACCCTCCTGCCGCACCACCACGTCCTCCGCCTCTTGCTGCTGTGCCCCTTCCTGCTGTCCAGCTACCACATGCTGCCGCCCTGCCTCCTCTGTCTCCCTCATCTGCCGGCCCACCTGCTGAAAACCCGCCTGCTGCACTGCCACCTGTGGCCAAAAATCCTGCTGCTGACCACAGGACACTTGTTCCTCTCACCCCCTCCCCAACTTCTGTCAGCCTTCTGGCTCCAGCCTCAAACATCAGCCTGAACACCTGGCCAGCAACATCTCCAGAGGCACTGAGGCCACCAGACCACAGACAACAAGCCACATGGAACACCTCATCCACCCTAGGCCCATGCTGGGCCCCCTCCAAACCATCGCTGACCCGAGCCATGACTCCTCCTTTCCCATGCACCTAGATCAGCGTCTGTCATCCTGGCACTGCCTGCAGCTCTCACATTTTCTCTAGACTCAAAGTGTGCAGGGATGGCCCTGTCCATGAGCCCACCTGGCAATAAACCACATCCCCTCACCTTTCTGGCCTCTCACTCACCCTTTTTCCATATCCTCGGTGCACTGGGGAAAGGGGAAGCATAAGTCCAGCACAAGGCAGCCTGCAGAGCCTGCCAGGCCATGGGAGAAAATGCACAAAGTGACCACCATGCCATGCACACACCTCAATGTGGTCATTCACAGCCATGCCCTGAAACACCCCTACCCAACCCACACTCTGCCATGGGCATTCCCATCCACAGGCCCACAAGGCCACTATCATCTTGTCTTAAAACCCTTCCCCTACATCTACCAACCCAGCACCAGTCACGAGTCCAGCTGCCAAGCGGGAGTGACTTTGGCATGCACTTAGTACGGATGCCACGTGCTCCTGTGTACATGTCTCTGTAAAACCACCTCCCTGTGTCTCAGAACAAGGCTTTCTAGGGCCAAGCTACCAAGGAATAGGGCTTGTTACTGAGGGGACCCTTGGCTGAACACCTCTGGCTCACAAGCAGGCTTTGCATGGGCTCAGGAAACTTCTGCCCTTTGCCTGTGCTCACTGGTCAGTCAAGAGACTGGGACTGAGCTGTTGCCCAGAGCACAGGATCCAAAGTTCCTGTGTGTTGAGATGACTTTCTCAAGGAGTGGCCTCAACTCCTTCCATGTCCTTGCTTTTCCCAGGTCCTTTTTCCTTGACCCAGGCTCTAGTTCTGGGGCATGGGTGGTGGTAACCCTCAAGAGAGGATGCCACATCACTCTCACTACAAACACATCCTGGAAACAACAGGAGAGCAGGATGCCAGGGAGTTGTTTCTCTGAGCAGATGCTCCTGGCCCCTCTTCCCATGCCTCCTCCCCCTGTCTTTTACCCCATGACGTCACTCTTAGGTCCCTTTGACAGTCCTCAGGTCATAGCCTGGCACATCAGGCCACAGCCAAGTGTGAGTGCTCCAGGAGTGAGCTCTAGCTACAGTTGACATGTACCATTAGTGATGGGTTTTTATTGCTCGATAACTAGAGGCCACAACCCAGTGTTCTCATGAGGTCTACTGGGAATTTACTGGGGCTTTCAGGGAAGATCGTGAGTGGGAATGAGGAAACAAGTGCCATGCAGAGCCTACTGCACTCCTCGGTCAGTCCCTGAGCATCTGCCTTTCATGAAAATTTCAGGATCTGAGAGCAACTGAAGAGGTGCTGAAGGGGCAGGAGTCACCTTCCCGGGAAATATGTTAGTTCCTCAGGACTTCTGGTGGGCATGACCCAAAAAACTGGCACCAAACCTGAAGGGCACAATTCTGGACAAACTATCTAAGCTGAAGCACAAGGGCAGAGCTCAGGTAAAAGCTCCTGTACAGAAATAATCAATCACTAACCATTTCTCAGTTTTCTGAGATGTGCCAAGCTGGTAGCAGGTGCCGGGGTACAGAAAGAAGGAAGAACACAGTCCCTTCTCCCAAGGCACTTATCTTCTACTGGAAGGAAGAAGAGGTCCCCATGAGCCCCATGGGGGGGGGTTAGAAAATAAGCTTTTATAAAGCTCCTACTATGCCCGAGGCAGTATACTAAGCACTGCACAAATCAGGTCTCTTTATGTCTAGTTCAAGAGCAGAACACCCAATACACTCTGCCTCAGCCTCTCCCCTGGAGCTCAGTGTGAGTGCAACCACTGCACCAGCTAACTGGGGTGATGAGCACAGCCAGAAAACGTTCTCTTCCCTTGGATGCCCCCTTACTCCTCCTGGGGCAGAGCCAGCACACCCAGGCCCTCATGCAAGAATGGCCATGATGCAGGGCCAGACTCACACCAGAGCAGTCGTGGCACATGGGAGCACTCCTAGAGAGCTGCTCCTTGCAGGAAGTCTCTGCATGCCCAGCCTCTGAGCAGCCTCCATGACCCTCTACTCAACCAAAGCCCAGACAACCCACTGTCAGCATCACTAGCACAATAGAGTCCCAAACCACACTGGGGCTGACTTAGACCTGAGTGACATCTCAGGGCAGTGACAAGTTCCAAAGGAACTATCTGCAGAAACAGAGAAGTCAGAAGGGGAAGGGGCACTACGTCCCTCAGGACAGGTCCCCTTGGATGCAGTCTACAAGACAAGGACACCTCCACATGAACACACATGCACCTTCATGCACACACACAGGCTTGGCCCCCACCCATCTCTTCATGGTGACTCCCACTTTTCCTGCCAGGCAGGGAGACTCTTTCTTCAGAAAGGAACAGTGACCTCCACAATGGCATAGACAGTGATCCTGTCACCTGGCCCAGGGAGGGGACAGTGGGTGTCTTTGTTCAGGGCCACATGTTTAATGAGGCTGCCAAGCTTCTGTCCCCCAGAGGAAGGGAAGAGACCCAAACTGGGAGGAAGTCGGACCTTGGGAGGAGGGTCTTGCCACACACTTCTTAGGGAGGACTTCACAAGTGTCTGCATGGATGCGGAGGCACAGATACACAAGAGATGAGGCTTGTGGACCTTCTTCAGCAAGAGCAGAACAAGGGAAAAGACAGAGAAATGGGAGAGATGCAGATGCTGGTGTGTTTGAGGAAATCCTGACAAAGTGATGAGGCACTCCCTCCATTGGGACGTGGGAACTGCCACAGCCCCAGACGCCCTGAGGGACATTTGGAGACTCTAGAGCCCATGGAGCCCAAGGACACTTGGACAGGTGGCCCTCCACAAGCATGCAGGAAACCCTGCCCTCTGCCAGGGATTGTGCCAGGGTGCAGGAGCTGAGGACAAAGGTGACACAGTCACTGTCCTCAGGGAGCCTGAGTCCTACCACAGGACACAGGATGAAGATGGACAAGCAAATGCCAGGTCATTTCAGAGGGACAGGGGGTACTGGAATGTGTAGGGATCAGGAGAGGCTCCACGTGGAAGGTAACAAAGGAGTTCAACCTCACAGGAAGCTGGGGGCCCTGGGAGGCAGAGGGGTGGTGGAGGGAGAGCATTCTAGGCATGGGGTCCACTCTGGGCAAAGGCACTGTGGTGGGAGATGGCATGGTGTGTACAAGGCACAGCAAGCAGAGAAGTTTGGCTGAAAGAGAGCAGGACTGAGGAAGTAATGGGAATGAGGCTGGAAAAGTAGGAAGGGGACAGCTTGGGAACATTTGCAATGCATCTTCTTCCAGAGGGCCCTGACACCTCATGAGCATAGGGGCCAGTGCTGGGTCCTGGATTCTGTTTGCCTTGGGCTCTCCAAGCCTAGAAGTTGGACTTTTTAATTTAGGGCTGGGGGTGGAGACAACCATGTCCCCGGTGCCAGCTCCCCCTCCTGAAGGAATGCGGTGTTTGTACCAGGAGCAAACAATTGACCACTACATTCTCTTAGCCCCCAGGACACACAGGCCCAGGGATCATGGGTCAGTCCACTCCTCAGCAGTTCTGAAACCTCCCTGTCACTTATTAGAACCAGGTCCAAACCCCTTAGCCTGGAAGTTCACACTCCACTTCCCTTCTTACTGAATAAAGGGTTAGGAAATATTTGGATCTGGATGGTATTGGAGAGACCAAGAATCTCCCATGAGCCCAGGAAGGTAAGGGCTTCCTGCTTTAAGGACTCACCCAAAGGCTTGGCTCTGGCTTTGAAGGAAGGAGGATTCAGTCAGTAGGCAGACATAATTTAAGAAGGGGGATGGTGGCCTCTAAGAAGACCCACATTATGCTCAAGCCCCCAAGGAAGACTTCTGGATGTCAAAGAAACACTGGGCAAGGACCTGTACAGAAGCTTCATGAGTTGTTTAGGAGTGGGAAGGGTGGGAGGAACAAGAGAGGGAGGAAACAGCTACGCTGGTGCTGTGGCATGCACACCCACACCCACACACACATGCACAAACCCACAAAAACATACAAACACACACTCAGAAAAGCACATACATGAACATACACAAAAACACACATGCACAAACACACACACAAACACACACACACACTGCAGAGGGGTATAAAAGCCTTGGTCAGGGGGAAGGAGCGTCCAACCCCATCCCTCCTCCTCTGCTCCTCTCCCAAGATCCCTCCCACCCCAGGCACCATGTGCCGCACCAGCTGCTCCACTGGCTGCCAGCCAGCCTGTCCATCCGCTGCAAGCCCATCCACTGCAAGCCCGTCTGCTGTGTGTGTCCCCGCTGCCACCCGGCCTCCTGTATGCCCCTGCTCTGCTGCCCAGCATGCCCTGAGGTGTCTGGCTGCCAGGAAGTCTGTGGAGCTGGCAGCGGCTCCCCGTCATGCTGTGGAAGCAGCTCCTGCCAGTCCACTTGCTGTCAGGCTGGTCCCTGCCAGACCACCTGCTGCCAGGCTGGTCCTTGCCAGTCCACCTGCTGCCAGGATAGCCCTTGCTTGTCCACCTGCTGTGCACCTGTCTGCTGCAAACCTGCTATCAGTGTACCCATATGCTACAAGATTGTGACCTGTGTCATCCCCTCCTGCCTAGACCTCCTTCTACCAGCAAACTTCCTGCACCTCTCTGCCCTGTAAACCTTCCTACACCCCCTCCTTCTGCTGAGGAAGAGTCCTTCCAGCTGCCCACTCATGGTTACATAAGCCTGCAACAGCTATCACTGTTAGACTTTTCGCTCCATTGAAGCAAGCCTTCTCTGGGCACCCAAAGCATGTACTTTAAAGGGACCTTATTCTATTGATGA